TGGTGACTCCTGTGGCTCCTGTTCACCTGGTGGGCCAGGGTGCCCCAGGGGTGGAGGGTGGGGGGGCACCCATTGCCAGGAGGAGCTGTCGGGCCGCTTCCGACTCTTCCACCCAGCCCGGTGTTTCCTAAGGCAGGAGCCCCGTGTGGGCCAGACATCCCCAGAGGCCACACAAGCTCTGCAGGGCCAGCATCTCGGAGTCCTGTGGGACAATTCTCCTCATCACAAGCCCTTCCCAGGTCATAGGAGACGAGACGGCATTTAATCAACTTCTGCGTGCATTTCAACCACGTGTGACATTTGATCTTTGTGACAGCTCTCCTAGTAATGTCCACTTCTGGTGTGCAGTCCTCCCATGGGTGAAGGGGCTGGTTCTGCCTGAGGACACTCTGAGGTGGGGGCCTCTCCTGGACGAGCGGGTGGGGTGTGCTGTGAAGGGAAGTGTCCCAGGCCTGGGACATGCCTGCAGCTGTGGGCAGCTCACCTACCACGTGGCAGCTCTGAAACTGTCCAGCACCCACTTCCTGGGCCTCCAAAGACATCAGGAGGGGACCTGGGGTGTCGGGAGCAGAGCTGATTCTCCAGCTCTTGGGGCAGCTTTCATCAGAGGTGCACACATTGTGCTAGGGTGACATAGCACTGGCTCCCAGTGCCCTGCAGCAGCCTCTGTTTACTCTCCTGGGCCCTCACTGGGAGCATTTTCTTACCAGTTTTGATACAAGCCCTGGCTTATGAAAAGATTGGGTTTTAACCTGAAACCCTGCTGGGGCTTCGGGCTTTCCCCAGATGGTTTGTTATTTGAAGTGCTCCTTCCACACCCACGTGGGCCAGCTGCTCGGCCGAGTGCTAGACGCAGAGGCGGGTCCCTGCAGGGCAGGAGGAAGGTTCTAGCCAGGCCCACAGGAGGGCAGATCATTGTTTATTCTTGGGGAAAATGTTGAAATGTCACCTAACGCTTTTACCTTGGACTCAGTGGTGGCTGTGCCAGAGGCGACGTCTTGGCTGTCTCCTACCTTGAGCCGGTGTTTGGCCTTAGATGTGCTGTAGAGGGGCGGCTCCCTCGGCTCTCCCCAGCTCCCTCTGCTCCCTCCAGCTCCCTTTCGCCCAGTTCCCAGGCCTGGCAGGACCTTCCCAGCAGACATGTGGATGGGCCACCTGTGCCGACAACCCGGAAACCAGAAACAATTGCCGTTGGAGAGCTGCTTTCTGGAAAAGCTCCTTACCTTTTCTCTGGTTATTTTGTTGCTCCTAGTAAGCCTGGGGATGGCGGCGAAACTCTGAGAACAGTCAAATGCTGCGTTAGGGAGGACGAACATCCATGCTGTCTGGGTGCCGGGCTTAGTGCTGATGAGTCTCGAGACAACCTATCCCTGATTGTGGGACGTGGTTCAGGGACTGAGACCCCAGCCAGCAGCCCTTGGGGAGGACCTGGAGACGCTGCCAGACACCGTGAGAGGTGTGGGAGGCTGGTGTTGGTTTCTCAACCCACCCATGTGGACGCAGAATCCACAGTGAACTGGGAGGAGGCGTCCCCGTGCTCAATTCTTACAGGACTGCTCTCAGTTGCCAACACCAAAAAATAAAAGCCTTCCGTGAAGAATGAATATTTTTAAAACCCTCGATTCTAATGCATTTGCTGTTCTGGGAAGATTGTGTCTGTGGCCCTTTGGTCAAGTTGCACAATGAGGGTGGGTGCTGGTGGGCCTGGAGCTCCGAGCTGCTCTGCCCCACGCCGTCGTGCGCAGGCAAGTACAGAGGTGCTTCCTTCAGGCAGTCCTGGTTCCTGGGAAGGAGCCCGCTGGCTGTGAGATGGGACTGTGGGGAGCCGCGTTGCTTTCTCCTCTTACCTGCATCCTAATTTGAGAGGTGGGCAGCACGGGTAGAGGATGTGCTGACAGTATCACACGGCATAAATCACGCTGAGGAACGTGACAGACCAGTCTTGGCCCCCATAATCACGACCTGTGCCCACACTTCTTTGCCCGGAAGTGCAGGGAGCTCCGGGAACTCCCATGAGAGGACTTTGATGGACTCTGTAGACACTGGTTCCTGGTGACCGTGGTGGTTGCAGGGCCACTCTTGGGACACCAGGCTGATTTGCCCAAATGTCCCCTTCAGAAGTGTCTCCCGATGGCCTTGTAGGACGGTGGTCCCCTCCCCCTTTCCTGCTTTAGCTCCCTCCCTGGCACCTGGCGCCACCCTGTTGGCTCGTTGAGTGTCTGTTTCCCCCACTCTGAAGAGTTCACTCTGGGAGGGCATCTCCCTCCTTCCCAGGTCTGGAATGGGCTTGGCCAGTGGTTCACGTGGTGACCTCTGACCTTGGCTGGTTAGCAGGCCCCCGTGTCCCCAGCGGGTCCTAGACCAGAGCCTTCTGGTCAGACAGTGCCAAGGTCCAGCCCTGAGGGGCCCAGCAGGATGAGATGGGGATGTGAGCAGGGGGCGTGGGTCGGAGGCCCCAGAATGTGCAGGGCGTTGACCTGCATGTGGTGGGTAGGGAAGGGTTTGCATTCAGGGCTCAACCCCCAGAAGCCAGGGTCGATCTGAGGTGGGCACCTACCACCCTCTTGGGGTGCTCACCCAAGTCCTCAGGGGCTGAGTGTGGGGAGAGGTGGGGTAAAGAGATGGTGCTGGGGCTCCTTTGCCCCCCTTTCCCAGGGCCACAGGGCTCCTCGGTGGTTCACAACAGGCTTTGTGTATAAGGAAGGGGCCATGCCCACTTCCCTCTGAGGCCCAGATCAAGTGACCACCCCAACCTTCTGCACACTCACTCCTTCTGGGGGCCTGCCTGGCTCCCTTGGTGACCAGGGCTGCCCACGGCACCCCCACACAGCCCTGTTCCTCTTCTCCCTCTCCTCCCATCGCAGGGGCCTGGCCTCCGCCCCCTCCATGGGCCCCCGTGAGAGGGGACTTGGGACTAGGGACTAGGGGAAACTGGGTGGGGTCTGGGGGCAGATGCATGGCCTGGGGGCTCAGGAGCGGGGGTCAGCCCTGCTGTTGGGTGACCACGTGGTGGCTCCCGGACCCCCCAGGCTTGGTCCTGTGGCAGGTAGGAGGCAGGTGTGTGGGACCTGGGGCTCAGGGCTCCTTGGGGGTGACCCCAGAGATGGTGGGGTCCTGCTGGGATGTCCCTGGCTCACCTACTGCTCCATAGGCCCCACCCAGACCTCTGCTATGCAGACCCTCACTGTACCCTCCCACTGGCAGATGAGGAAACCGAGGACCCAAGGAGGTGGGCTTGGGGGTGGCCTGCATGGAGCCCACCATGAGGCAGGGATTGGTTTTGGGGGCTCCGAGTGCAGCACTGGCCGCTTGCCCAGCTTGGAACCAGACATTGACGTTTGCCTAGAACTGTCTCCGACCTCTGTGCTGCTGATGGAAGGCCGGGTGGACACCTGGAAGGTTCAGGAACGCTTGCCCGGGGCTCCTCACTGCAGTGACCTGTCCCAGGCGCCTCACACACACCTGCCCTCGGGGTACTGCCGCTTCTGCCGGTGCCACCCCGGGCTCTGCGGCCTCAGTCCCTTCCCTCCCCGATACAGAGCCAGTGTGCAGGGAGCTCCGGGAACTCTCATGAGAGGACTTTGATAGACTCTGCAGACGCTGGTTCCTGGTGACCGTGGTGGTTGCAGGGCCACTCTTGGGACACCAGGCTGATTACATACTGTTCTCCTCAGAGCACACAGGGAGCTGTTTTGACAGATTCCTGCCAGTGGACTTCCTTCTCCTTACCTCCTCTGCTGAGTGCTGGAATGAGAGCTGACCTCTTCTTTGGGAGCCGGGAATGGGGCTGAGCCTAGGCTTGCGTGGGGCAGAGCTGGTGGTCATAGGAGGTCCTGGCCCAGCCCGGGGCAGTGCAGAGACCCTCATGGGTTGCTAATGGCAGGTGCGGCGGGCAGGGACCTGAAACAGCCACTGGGTCTCCAGTTCCACTGGTTTGGAGCCTTCGGGGCTGGGGTCGGGAGGGCATGAGGGCCGCTGTGCACAGTGGCAAGGCCAGGTGTGTCTGACCCCAGCCTGGTGGGCACCCGGGGGCAACAGGAGCTGGGCATCAGGGTGGAGCCACGGTCATCCGGAGGATAGCTGCGATGCCGGTCAGCCTCCTGCCGGTGCCTGTGACTCACCTGGCAGGATCTGGGACGGTGGGTGCCTGAGTAGGGATCCCTGTGGACATGGCTGGCAGAGACCACTTGGCTGGGGGCTTCTCATGGGTGCTGGTGCGGTGAGCCCTGCCCACAGGGTTCCACTCTGCTGCTCACATGGTGTCCTGGAGCCGCATCCGGGATTCCTGTCCCACCTGCACCTTCCCTGAGCAGCATCTGCATGGCTGTCTCGGGTGTCATTGTCTGGGACTTGGTGTCCCTGTGGCCGCCCTCCTGGTCAGTCTTAGGAAGCGGGGACAGATGTGTTCAAATCACAGGCACTGCAAAGTGGGGGCAATGTCCCTAACCCAATGGCCCACCCTCAGCCACCCATGACAATCCCAAACCATGGCTGCCCTGCAAGTCCACTCACCAAGCGCCGCCTGACATGCCTGACCACCAGCCCGCCCCAGCACACCTTGGACTTTACAGCACGCACTGCACGCCCTGACCCGCCCCACCAGCCTCGCCAGCACACCTGACTTTACAGCCCACCCCCCCCGAACTTTACAGCCCACCTGCCACGCCTGACCCAGCCACGGCCGGCAACACTCCACTCGCTGCTAGCCCTCCTGGCCCGGAAAGACCTGCCGGAGCCCTGCCGCCCTCCTCCCTCCAACCCTCCGGGAGGGTACTGGCTTCCGCAGGTTGGTGCAGGCAAGTGAGCACAGTTGCTGTGACTCCCTTATGCCTTCTGGCCTTGTTGTTTAATACACTTGCTTTCCCACTCCCTTTCCCTCTCCAGGAGGACCTACCTCAAGGAACTTGTGCCTTATTCTCTAAGGTGGGACGTGGATGGTGGCTGGGCCTCTCTTGCTCGGCTTCCACCGCTCGGGGGGCCGGAGGCTTTTAGGGCTCTTACGCTGTGCGGGCCTGCTTGGGGTCCTGGGGGAGGCCACCAGAGCACACGCCCATGCACAGGAAGATGCTGGCTTCGTTTCCCAGGGCAGTATAGGACTGGATTCCAGGTACCCATGTGCCAAGTGCCAGGGTCAGGGGCCTGGCACAGCAGGTGCCATTTGGCCGTCCTAGGCATGCGCGTGGGCGTGGACCACCAACCTCGTCCTCAGCTCTGTTGGGAATGGCCAACGCTGTGCCAACCATGGGCTTCTGTGCCCGCTGGGGCTCTTCTGCCTCTACTGGGTGCTCCAAGAAGGAGCACAGGGGTCTCTAGGCAGCGGCAGCCTGGGCCTGGGTGGAGCCTAGGTGGACAGAGGGTCCTTGGACCCAGAGCTGCCCAGCAGAGTTCATCTCCCCAAGCTGTAGGCAGCCAGCTCAGCCCTGGGCCTTGCCCTGACACCCCGTCCCCTCCCCACTGCAGAGGGCAGGCCCCGCAGACTCTGAGGTCCATCCCGTTGGGGTTGGCTGCTGGATGGCATTGGTGTCTCTGTCTCCCCTGCCACGGCCCAGCTGCCCTCTTGTTCCCTTCCCTCCTCCAGTTCAGCCCCGTCCATCACACGTGCCGGTTCGCAGCCCACTTTCCTTTAACATCTGGTGACATCGGGTGACGCCACATAGCGGCAGCTGCTCCCTGCCTGTGGGGCTGTGGCCCGGGCTGCCTCAGAGTGGCTTTGCTGGTGCCAGAGCAGCCTCTGCCTTGATGACATAATCTCTGTTTAGGCGTGCGTAGGTTTTCCTGAGGGAGGAGGCTGGGATGCAGGGTGGGGTGGCTGCCGCCTGGAGCTGGGGATCTTGGGGGCTGTGCCAGCTTGTGGGTGTCGGCCACAGGTCTCGTCTGTGCAGCACGGTCTGTCCTCTGCCGCCTCTCTGCCCAGTGCCCAGCTCTGATGCCTGGCAGCCTCTTCTCTCACCCCTTGAAGCCCCACCCCCTCCGTCAACCTGGTTCTGACCCCCTGTGCCAGTCAGTGCCCCTCTAGGCACTTGCAGAGGGGAGGTGAGGAGCGCCTTTCTAAGGCGCTTAAATCAGACCGCTCTCCCCACCTCTGCAGAGTCAAGCCCCACTGCCGTCTTGTGCAGAGGAGACCAAGGCCACAGGTCACAGCCCCTTTCTCACCCCTAGGTGCTCTGCTGACCGCCCTCCCACTTCACCCACTGACCAGCTTGTGGATCTGTCCATACACTGCGGTCCTTTTCCTGCCTGTGCCCAGGCTGGCCCCTCACCTGGGCACCCTCTCCCTGCCCCCCGCTGATGCCCACTTGTCTGGAGGGCCCAGCACAGGCGTCCTCTCCCCAGGATACGACCCTGCACTTTCATGCCGGCCTGCCCTGTGCTCCAAGCCCTGAAGCCTCCATGGGTCCTTGTCATGGTGCCCGTAGCTCAGGCTGAAAGACCTCTGGGTGTGTGACTCTGTCCCCAGGGTCTGTGAGGATGGACACTTTGTCTGCTGTGTCTGTGCTGAACCCTGGTGCTATCCTGGAGCACCCTGGGAAGGGAGTGGGCATTTTCCAGTTCAGAGGAAAATGTGAAGAAACCTTTCTTCTAGAAACCGTTCTGTCTCCTCCTCCACACACCGAGTGCCTAAAGCACTTGCCCCACCAACGGCACAGGGTACCCCCAGGGAGCAGTGGAGATGAGATGAGACTCCAGGCCGTGCCTCCTAGGAGTGGTCAGTACCCACCCCAGTGTCTCCCTGGGTCTGCCTCTGGCCTTGGCTGTGTCTTCCCTGCCTTTAAAATAACCATGTTTGTGTGTTGTGGGGGTGGGTTCCAGATGTCAAATTCCCCACAGAATAAGTGAACATGAGGCTGGGGTAAAAGTGGGTAAAAAAGTGAAATGTTGTGAACCAGTGGGTGTCCTAAACCTGGCTCCAGGACACAGGGCCTTGCAGTGAGAGCCATGTGCAGGCCCTTCATGGGTGCAGCACACTGGGGGTACAGACCCGGGGACACAGGCTTGGGGGTACAGAATTGGGGACGTAGGCCTGGGGACACAGGTGGAGGCAGCTGCTGGCCTGGGAGTCATCTGGAGGGGCTCATCCTGGAGGCCAGTGGGTGACATTGTGGGACCCCCCGTCTTATGTGTATGGAGAATGTCCTGGGTTTGAAAGGCAAGTGGAGGCTGTCTGGAGAGCCCATCAGAATCCCTTTCCTTGGTGTGGATAGAGGCTCCCTGGGCAGGGTACATGGGCAGGTCTCATGAGTGACAATTGGGGGGCCGTCCTTCTCCCGGAAGGGCTTGCGGGTGTGGGAAACGGTGCCTTCTGCAGCTTTGCATAGGCCTGCGGAATGGCCCTCGTGCTGGGCGCACGCACTCCCAGGCCACTCAGGTCACGGTGGACACAGCTGCAGCCCTCAGCCTCCTCTCGTTCATCTTGGGGCCGTTTGCAAACTCCCCCAGGCTTGCCCAGTGAGTGTCAGCAGGGCCGACGCCCCTGTCCTCTGGAGACGCGGAGCAGGGTGAAGGGGAACCAGGAACAGCTGCCCACGCGTGCGTGGCTTCCCCCAAAACCCCGGGCCTGCCTGTTTGGGGGTGTTCACGGGATGGAGCAGCTTTCAGTGGGGGTGGCCGGTGCCCAGGACGGCAGCCCGGTGGAGTCGGACTCAGGCGTGTGTGGCTCGTTCTTGCCGTGTCCCTGCTGTGGTGGGCACCTGCCTAATCCTGTAACAGTCCTGGGAATAGGACGTGCGTGACCCCAGGCCCATGTCTTCACTGACTGGGGCTCAGCCCCTCCTGCCTCACACAGGAGCGAGAGTTCAGCCCGCCCCACGGCGACCCTCTTCTAGGGTGAGGGGCCCTGGCAGCATCGGGGTGGGGGGTGTTGAGGTGGAGGAGCTGCTCTGGGGTGGGGGTTTGTGCCACGTGGGGCCTTCCTGCCACCTCACCAGGTGTCCCTCTGTTTTATTCTGCAGTGAACTTTGACCACTTCCAGATCCTTCGGGCCATCGGGAAGGGCAGCTTTGGCAAGGTAAGGCAGGGCCTGGCGTGGGGATTGGGCTGAGGGCTGAGGGGGCAGAACCGTGGAGTCGGACGTGCTGTCCCCCGAGTCCACCTACCCCCATCCTCCTCGGGAGAAGCAGCCTCACCCAGGCAGAGGCTCCAGGTCCTTTCGGGAGGGCGTGGGCGCACCTCCCATGGAGGCAGCGGGCTGTGCCGCTGTCAGACTGGGCCCCATAGTGTCACCAACACCGCAGCGTCCACGAGCCACGGGGACAAAATTGCAGCTTTGGCTGAACCGGAGCCCAGAGGCCGGGCTGTGCCTACGGCTGCTCCTCAGGGCCTGCAGGGGACAGGATGGAGGGTGGGTGCTGAGTGTGCATCCTCAGCTGGGCCCTGTCCTCTTCCCCATCCCTGTCTCCAGCCGCGTCCAGAATGCCCGGCTGCTGTCCTCCACGTGGGCCTGCTGGCTGGCCTGGACGGAGCCCGTTCCTTTACGCTCCTTTTGTTTTCTCTTGGCCAGATCTAACTTCCTGATTGCCGCCTTGTAATATCTAGAGATCAGGGGCAATTATAACTCAAAGAGGCTTAACGAGCACTCGGGAAAGGTTGAAATTAGCCCTCCGGCTTCTGTGCGCGGCTCTGTTGTGGATGAATCACTTCTGAATGGACAGTTCTTCTCAGCTGTCCCGGGAGGCTTAGCAGATGGGCTCTGCCTCCCTCCCCTCCTGGCTGTACAGCTGCCTGGACACTGTCTATTTAAGCCCCATAAGCCCTTTTTAAAGCGATTGCTGGGCTACCGGAGTATAATGCGTAGGGTATTTGAATGTGATTAATTACCTCCATTTCATTGTATCGCAAGCCATGGCTCTGCTAGGTTATTTGCGGCCTGGGGTGATGAAAAGTCAGAGCGAATGAGGCCCTTTGCGCAGTGCGTTGAGAAAGCTCCCGTGCACCGAGGAGAGAGTGCTTTTGAGTCCCTGCGTGTGGGGAGGCGCCCGTGGACCTGCACCGTTTTGTTGCTGGTGAGGCCGGTTGAGCGTCGAGGTGAGGTGCTGAAGCTGGTGGAGTCCGTCAGAGACACTCAGGGCTGTTGGGACTGCGTCAGACCCTCCTGTCCTCCCAGCTGAGCCTCAGTTCTATTCCCCAGGCCTACAGCCGGTGCACGAGGGGCAGGCAGGATGGAGTTTGGGGGGGACTGCTCCCCTCTGGCAGCGGAGGACGGCAGCTGTGACGGGGTTCAGGAGAGGTGGCTTAGGGGGACCCTGGGAGTCACCAGGCATCCAGAGATCAGGTTCAAGGAGGGAGGCTGGGAAGCCTGGGCCGGGCCAGCACATCTGGAGAGGGCCAGGCCAAGGGCATCTGAGGAGCAAAGACCTACCCTGGGGAGCGAGGCTGGTGGGTGCAGGTGCTGTTTCCCCATTGCCCCCGTTGCCCCCGCCTCTGCTGGCCCTATACCCCTGCCTGGGAATGGTCCCCTCCTTCTCATGAGCACAGGTGGGCAGCCTTAGCCCTGCCACCGTCTGCAGACCCCCCCAGGGTTCTGCTCCTCGGACCAGTTCTTAAGAGGCTCGGGAAAGCCAGCTGGCCCAGAAATGGGCAACTGTGGAGTGTGGGGAACAGGAGGGAGTCACTGGGTGCTGTGCTCAGATGCAGGGTAATGTGCACCTGGAGGGTTCCTTCTGGCTCCCAGTTAGGCCTCCTCATCAGGCCTGCAGGGGCCCTGTGCACCACTTGCGGATGGATGCCTGGCACCGAGGGGAGGGTGAGGTGACGCCTTTCACTGACCTGGAGGGGTCCTTCCAGCTCTTTCACTGGCCGAGGCAATGACCCCATAGCCGAAAGGATGAGGGCTGAGAAGGGCGGCCCTGAGTGTGGTTGGGCTGTAGCTGCATCTGCTCACACGTGGCCTCAGTTCAGAGGGGCTGCAGCAGCAGAGGCCCCAGCCACCCCTGTTTCCCTGCAGGAGGTGGTGGGCCCAGGCTCAGCTGCACCCAGGCCCTGCCAGTGTTGGAGCCACCTGTGAAAATGGCTCTGGGTCGAGGGGTGGGATACCCTGGCAGGGCACCGGAGCCCACCCGTTCAGGATGGCACAGCGTTTGGAGTCCGACCAGGTAGAGTCCGGTCCTGCCAAATGGCCGTGGTGCAGCTGCTCTACCTGCTGGGGCCACAGCTCCACTATTGGGGCCGCCGCTCCTGGAAACAGATTATCTAGACCTAGCCCTTGGCTTTTGTTTTTGTTTTCAATTTTTAAAAAATTACAGTGAATTACACATAACAAAATTTACCATTTTCACTGTTTTGAAGGCAGCTCTGGGGTCTGAAGTACATGGTGCCCCCCAGTTCTGTCCAGCTGAAAGTGGTGGCCTTAGTTAATTCCAGGACTAACCACTTAGCGGGAGGAATCTAGACTTGGAGAAAATCTCTTTCTTCCTGCCATGGACATTCCTCCAGCCTGCCCTCCGCCCCTGCCTGCCCCCTCACCCGGCATAGACATTCATCCAGCCCACGCTCCACCCCCGCCCCGCCCCCCACCTGGCATAGACATTCATCCAGCCCACGCTCACGCCCCACCGCCGACCCCCCGCATATTCATCCAGCCCACGCTTCCGCCCCGCCCCGCTCCCCATAGACAGTCTTCCAGCCCACGCTCCGACCCCCCACATAGACATTTCCTCCAGCCCACCGACCGCCCCACGCCCCGCCTCCACCCGCCATAACATTCCTCCAGCCACGCCTCGCGCCACCGCATAGACATTCCTCCAGCACGCTCCACCCCCGCCCGGCCCCACCTGACATCAGACAGCTTCATCCAGCCCACGCTCCGCCCCACATAGAATTTCCTCCAGCCACACCACGCCCCCGCCCCGCATAACATTCCATCAGCCACGCCGCCGCCGCATACAGACATTCCCAGCCCACGCCCCGCCCCCGCCCCCCGCATAGACATTCCTCCACACACGCCGCCCCGCCCGCCCCGGCCGCTCAGGTGATTAAAATTCTGCTCGGCGCGCCTGTCTCAAGCTTCCAGCCGGGGTTACAAAGGCCTCGGTGTCTGAGAAGCTGCCTCCCCAGCGCTGCCTAATTGTGCTTGTTCAGAATCCAGGACAGCGAATTCCAGCCTCAGGCTACGGTTATCTCAGGCTGCGGGCTGTGATCACAGGAACCACGGGTGGGGGCAGCCCCTTCCCACGTCCTTCCGGAGCTGGTGGGTGGTTGGCTTGGATGCTGCTGCCCCAGGGAGGAGGGGAGGTCGCTGCCCCAGGATTTCTCTGGGACCAGGCTTGGCTGGGGGGCGCAGACCAGTGCAGGTTGGGCCGGGCATGAACCCCAAGTCCATGCCGAGCCCCGGCCCCTCTGGCCTGTCAGGCAGGCCCCATCTCTGGACACAAGTCTCTTAAAAGCCGTTGACTTTTCCGGGCTGTGGTTCCCTGGGTCGGGGTACAGCGTTTTCCTGTTCTTTGGGCCAAGGTTTCCTGAACCAAACGCGCCGTGGAGGCGCTGCCCCTCCCGCTGCCTTCTGAGGCTGAGCCGGGTCTGTGAAACGTGCTGGCAGTGGGCACCGGGGCAGGAGGAAAAGCATACGAATTTATTGTTAGTGTTACATGTGCGGGGCATCGTGGGGGAAAAAAGAAAATACCCAAAACAGTAGTGGGCCCCGAGGGCTGACGGGCAGGCTGGGAGAAGGTGGAGTGGGGGCCGCGTGGGGGGCACACAGCTTTTAGGGACGACTACAGGGCCCCCAGAGACGCAATGGGGACTGCGATGGTTTGTGACTGAGCCTGAGGCGGGGGTGGATCCTGGCCTCTCTCCAGGGGGAGGGTCCCTCTTCCTGGGCCGGTGGAACTGCAGAGGGGGGCTGAGCTGGCAGTTCCTCTTGGAGGGTCTGTCTTTAGACAGATGAGGGGAGTTCGGAGAGAGCCCCCCACCTCAGGTGCTGTTTTCCAGTGGCTTCTGCTCCAAATAGTCAACAAGGCAGAGTCTGGTGGTGCCACCAGAGCCCCTTCACCACCCATGCCCTTCTGTCCTCCTGCTGCACTCCCCCCACCTCGGGTCCTGCTCCACTGGCCCCGTGCCCCAGTTGCCCTCAGCCGCCCCACTCCCAGTAGCTCCCAGCTCACGGCCCCTCTCAGAGGACGACAGACCCTGGCCCCCATACATGCTGGAAGGCCGTCTGCACCCAGCGCTGCCTCATTCACGATCAGGGCAAGAAACATTCTGTTCCGGGGAGAATGGAGTGCATTTGGAATTCAGCTTTTTTTTTTTTTTTTGAGTCAGGGTCTCCCTCCGTCACCCAGGCTACAGTGCAGTGGCGTGATCTCGGCTCACTGTGACCTCCGCCTCCCAGGTTCAAGTGATTCTCGTGCCTCAGCCTCCTGAGTAGCTGGGACTACAGGCGTGTGCCCCCACAGTTAACTTTTTTTTCTATTTTTAGTAGAGACGGTTTCGCTATGTTCGCCAGGCTGGTCTCAAAGTCATGACCTCAAGAGATCTGCCCGTCTCAGCCTCCCACAGTGCTGGGATTACAGGTGTGAGCCTCCACGCCTGGCTGGAATTCAGCACTTTTAAATCGGCAGGCTCGAGGTCTGGAACCGCTTGTGGACAGCCTGTTGCGGGTGTGGCTGTGCGCAGGCCTCTCTCTGGGCGTCCCGCACTGTCCCCTGCAGGGTGTGCTGACCAGCGAGGCGCGGTATTCCAGAGCCTCTTCTACGCTCTGCCAAAAATGCCGGCTCTTCCCTTGTGTTTATTTTTCCACATGGATTTTTGAATATGTCTTGTCAGAATCGAAAGTAACCGCGCTGGGATGTGGGTAGGATTTACGTTTTCAGATTAATTGAGGGCAAAGTTGAGATCTTACCTCTCTAGGGGTCTAGGGCCTTTTACCCAAATAGGCGTCTGCTTTTTTATATTGATTCTTCGTATTTTGCTATGTTTATGCTACGTTGTTCCTGTAGTTATTATTTGTTACGTTGTTACGTGTAACTTTTTGCTACTGTGACTAAGAGACTTTATTTTGTAACTTTTCCCAGT